GTTGTACTGCTGTTGCACTGCGGTTTAGTCCACCACTTGCCTCACCACTTGACCACTTGCCCACTTGCCTACCTTCTAGAAGGTCTACAGCTAAGCTTACGGAACTCACTAAGACTCCTACGCTGTAGACCTACAGATCGAACCCCTGCTGCCTATGGACCTACGACAGGCCTACCAGCTGCCTACGAATACACAGGTCACAGGTTCAATTCTCGGGGTCTACACAGATACTGTACATGGGTAGGGTGAGGTCTAGGGATCGAACCCTGGGTACTGCATCCGCTACTGCTAAAAGGTGAAAACCGTTTCATAAGTACTGCATCTGTAGAGACACAGAGAGATAAGGATGGATGTTCCAAGTCTGACACTTTCTCCTACCATAGCAATTAAGTAATTAAGTAAATTACAAATAAAACACATAAGTTTAGAACGCCTGGTAATGATCGGCGCTGTATCTAGACTGAAAGTTGTCCCCTACTTCCACACACCCGCCCGGCCTCCCCCCCCGCCCCCAAAAAAAAAGAGAAGAAGTTGTCCCCGAATACAGCTATAATGACCCGGCGTTTCTCCCAAAATTAAAAAATTAAAAAATAATCCCCAATACAGGTATATAACGACCAGGCGTTCAATTCCGGTGAAGACGGTAAGAAGGATGGAGAAATATCGAGAGATCTGTGTTCCAAGACCGAGAAAACTGCATTTGTTTTTATTTTATTTTTTGAATATTCTGCAAAAATTAATGCCCTCCTCTTTGATCTCCTGGAGGTTTAGAGGTCTGCGTTGTGAGCCTATACTAACCAATTTGTCCATGCACAGGTTTGAGGCTCGGGAAAGGACTGGACTGCAGAAAGGTAGAACCTTTGAGGGTAGGTCTCTAATTTGACATAGCGGACTGACAAATTTGTAAACTTGTTAGTAGATACATACAGGGGCATACCGGAAATTTGGTACGGGTCGCTAGGATATTCCAGGAATCCCGGGCTAGGACCAGACCAGAAGTCCCATGGTACAGATATCAGTCCAGGAGGACTGCAGTCCCAAACGAATTCGGACAAACATTACTCCAGATTCATCCCGCACCAACGGTACTAACAGAGTGATCTGGAAGGTCATCATTTTTCCGCCTAAGGGTACGAAAGTAGGGGCAAGGTCGTCATTTTTCCGCCCAAGGCTACGGAAGTAGGGGGAAGATCATCATCTTCCCGCCAAAGGGTACGGAAGTAAGGGGGGGGGGTCATCACTTTCCCGCCGAAGGGTCCGTGCTGCTGACGCCAGTCAAGGTAGCAAGAGATTGGCATTTGCAGTCCAGAAAAAGGGGAACAGGACAACGAGGAGGAGGAAGAGGAGGAGGAGGAGGAGGAGGAGGAGGAGGAGGAATACGAGGATGAGGACGACGAAGAGGGCAAAGATGAGGAGGAACAGGACAAAGATGAGGAGGGCGAAGAGGACAAAGATGAGGAGGAGGAAGAGGAGGAAGAGGGAGGGAACGAAGGGGAAGACAAGGCAAAGAAAGGGGCAGCAGTAGCAGGAGGAGGAGGAGGAGGAGGAGGAGGAAGGGGGGAAATGGGAGATGGGGACGAAAAAGGTGGCGTAATTTCGTACGCGAGGGATGTTGTCGGCATGTTTGTGACGGTGGGGAAGTCCGAGGCATCAGCAGAACAATGCCCTCCCTTGGACAGCCCTTACACGAAACGCTTGCTTGGATTGGTTTATCCCACAATACCCTCAGCCATGTTTACTGAGCAGAGAAAGCACTACAAGGTTCCCCCTATGTCTGAAGTGATTTCCGGTGTGAGCGGCATACCTGAATGTAGAGGAGGATTACTACAGCCTGCTGAACGGAATCATAGCTGTCCAGCTTGGCAAGCATCCCACGAACCGTCCACGGAGGGCAGAGCGGCATGCCGTTTGCATGGGGGTAACCAATCTTCAGAGAAGTTTCAGGGAAAGATCAGGTCGTCTGCGACCAGAAACAATTGCACACATACCCTTTTGAATTAGACGTGACAACAAGCAACAACAGGAAATAGGAGAGTTTCAGCAGCTCGTCATACTATGCCAAATATATAACCATAACAAGTGAAGTCAGTGCGGCTACGCTCGCACACATGGAAAATATCAATGTGAGATATCCGTGGTCTAGATGTAATCTCTCTCTCTCTCTCTCTCTCTCTCTCTCTCTCTCTCTCTCTCTCTCTCTCTCTCTCTCTCTCTCTCTCTCACACACACACACACACACACACACACAGATTACATTTAGACCACGGATATCTCACAATGATATTTTCCATGCGGGCGGGCCTCTTCGAGATGCAAGTGGTTGAACGTCATTCTTGAGATGCAAGTCGTTAAATCTTCCTTTTGCTTTTTTGTTTTGTCGAGGAATCTCTTTTCTTGATGCCAGGGATAGAATCCTTTGTTTTTTTTTTCCGATGGTGTCATCAAATGGATATCCCATGTCCTGTTAAGATGAGTAGCTGGGGTGAGACTCTCTCCCTCGGCTATTCAGCTTCCATCTCTCAAGAGCGAAAGCGAGTGAGAGAAACACCCAGAGAAACACCTCTCTCTCTCTCTGTGCACATTAAGAGAGTCTACTGTGTGGAATGGAGTTCAATCACCTCGCCTAGGTAGCGGTGGGACTGGTTATTGTTCAAAAAAAAACAAGAGGGAAAAAAAAAAAAGGCATGGAGTTCAACGCTTCTTTCCTGGAAGATGACGGAGATTGAGAAAAAGCTAAGTTGATGATGAGAGGACATGTATGGCGCGAAGGCTGTAGCACGTCGACGGATTAAAAAAAAAAAAAAAAAAACTCGATGAAGGTGGTGAGTGCAAAGAAACAGAGAGAGGGGTGAAAACAACCGACGCAACCAATCTATGACCGCACGTTGCCGGCTGAGTTCAATCAATCAAGTGATTCAAGTCAGCTTTGGTTCAGACACAGAGCTGAGGAGCATTTTTTATGTTGACGTCAATCACGCCGAGACACGGGAATATGAGAGAGGAGAGATGCAACCGGTCTGGCAACATGCTCACCAGTAAAATGCTAGTCCACTTGGCTTGCCCGGCCGTGCATGACTTGCCCGGGGGTCACCTGCACGGGGCACCCCGTGCAGACAAACATCAGTCCGTTTTCTTTTTTTTTCTTTTTTGGGAAGGGGGGGGGGGG